CGTACATGCACATATCCAAAATGTTGCTTTTTGTGAAAAATTTGTCCTCAAAAGAATGTACTACTAAAAAAAATGAGTCGGCATCAAGCAAAGATGAGCCGGTTCTGCTGTTTTTAAACAAGAAAATGAAGAACCGGAGATTCCAGGTTTGTCCAGTTCTGATAAGAAGGCAGAATTCCATGGTTCGGTACAGGAGTTGAAGCTGTATCAAGATGTCAGTGGGGCAGTTTGAACCCTTGTTGGCAGAGTTGGGACCACATCTGAGGAGGCAAAGAAATCATTTCAGAGAGCCGACTAACAGCGTTTGTGTGTCTGAGCTGAAATTGTATTATGTTACTATTTGTGTATTCAGTATCGGTGTACATTTGGAGCTACAAGCACACTTGTTGGTAATTGCAGTGGTCTGATTGGTGACGCCTGTTCATTCACATGATAAAAATTGAGCTTGATCCCAAAAAAATAGTACTATAAAATTATGCAGTCAGTGGGAATGGCTGCACCAAAATGCTCGCAAGAATTTTTCACGCCCAGCATGTAAAGGCTTTAAGTACTTTCCTGAATAACGTTAAATAGGATATGTTCCCACCAGAACTAATGGGTAAGCAAAGCTAGTCATAGTTTGCTGTTTGAACTGTAAGTTTTTGTGATATGTTATCCTCTTTCACGCCAAATGTGAGCTATAACCACTTCTGTTAAATTGTCCAGCTTTCAAAGAAAATTGTTGCAACTTGTTGTCTACAGTTGGAAAGAGGCGTTTATATTTTTACAAGTGTTTGATTGTGTGTTATTAACTCTGGAAGCTCGGTTTGGTAAATGTGTCCAACTTAGCAAAGTCCATAACCCTGTGTCACACACACTGAAATGGGTACATATGTGGCTGAACTCATTGTTTATGTCTTGCGATTTTACTGCGTCTTTGTAGTAAAGAAAGATGAAATGGTAAAAAGAGGTAATTTATTTAGAACTCAGCTGTGGTGTCTGTGTAGAGATTGGCAAGGCACATCCTTTGAATCGGGTTGCCAGTTTGTGCCGCCAGATGGGTTGAAATTATATTTGGAGTGTCTACTATGTGCATTTCATAGACAATCTGGCAAGTTGGCTGAACGTACAAAACTTATTGATCCGTGTATTCCAGTTATTCGTGGTAAAGTTTAAGAGTCGTGCAGGTTTGGGAGTTTCCTGAGAGGAAACCGACTGCTGGGAGATGGTTTTAAAATACAAGTGAAAACAGGAAAAACGGGAATGTTGCCAGAAAAGATTGAGAGCTTTTCAAAGAGTTTTTCTTTGTCACTCAGTAAATGCCATTTTTCCAGTGGAAGAAGCAAAATACTTTTTAACTTATTCAGTGTTCAACATTGGTCTAGTTGTACAAAACAAACACTTTGTGTCTTTTTGGCATTTTAAAAACTGTTATTTTAAAATTCAGGTCCCCCTGGATACAAAATTATTAATTTCTTTGGATCTCCTTTCATGTTACTTTGATCTCTTTCCAGAATTTAATGTCTCCTTTGTCTCTCTCTGTGTTTTAACTTTCTGTCGTTCTCCCAGATGATTCCTTTGAGCAGCTGAGGATTGAGCCCTTCTCCACTCCCCCTGAGCTCCCCGACGTCATGAAGCCCCAGGATTCAGGCAGCACAGCCAACGAGCAGGCTGTACAGTGAGCTCAGAGGCGGGGGAAACAAGAGGGACACACAGGGGGTCGAAGGGAGGGGTTGAATTTTTGGGAAGTGATGCCTCAGCGGGTGAAGTTTTGCCTTGCCGACGACCGATCTTCAGCTGGGCGTAAACAATTTCAAACGCGGATTCCCCCTTGGTGTAAATGTGAGGGTGCTTCAAAGTGGTTCATTTTGTCCTGAAATCGGCGAACGCATGCTAGATAAATTGATAATTACACAAAAGACCCCACAGAGATACCTGACGGACTTGTCACGACACTGTCAGTCATCCACGGGGTTGGTAAAGGCTGAACATGAATAATTGTACCTCGTATTTAATGAATTCTAGTCTTTATTTGGAGTAAGGCTGATGCTGCCTTACTTGTGTTCTTTAATTTGCTGGCTTCAGAGTGGGATTTGACAAGGTGTCGCATTTTTAGGTTTTTATGTTTGTGTTTCTTTATTAAAATATTACTAGGATTAACTTTTTTGGGGGGTGGTTTGGATATGTGTTGCTGCAATAGCTCGGAGTTTGTGAATATCTAAGTTACTGAGACTGAATGACTCATTTGGATCTTCAGTACACGTCTTCAGACATAGCAGCAATCAAAATTCAAGTTGTGGCGATTATTCTTTACTTTTCCCTTCTTAACATTGATGGAGACCTCTTCACCTTTCCTCAGCAACGATTGGTTGTAGCCTGTGACTTGCTTGACAGTCTGAAGTGAAGAGGTGACACGTCGTGGTTAAATTATGAGCTGTGCCTGGCTGCTTATTTTGCCTCCCATTTATCCTGGAACCATAGCTCATTTATGTCATGCTGCAGTTTGTGCTGTATTTTACACTGTTAATACCATAATGCGTATTATTTTCAAAAAATAAAAATAAAATTGTATTAGAAATAAACACTTCTGCACATCAAAACTTCACATTATGGTGTAACACTGGGTCTCATGATCTAGAAACGTAATAATAATTACAAAAAAAAAAAAAGTCTGTTATTACAGGAAGAAGAAGTAATGGCCTGGTGGGTGTGGGAAAAGATGCTATTTAATATGACATTTAAAAGCATATTTGAAGATTGAGGCTGTTAAACAGTGGGATGTGATGATCAAAGTTGCACTTGTAACTGGTTTAACATTAAAAGAATTGTTTTTCACATCTGTGTACTGTTGTGTGTTTGTACAATTTAAAGTGATCTTTGAACATAGACGGTGTAAATGTGGCCTTGATGAAGCCACGATGTTGGTGTTTTAGCAGCTGCTGTTAAAACACCACAACCTACTTAGGGATGATCTGATATCCTCGTGTTGGTGTTGTTCCCAGATCATCATGAAAATGTTGTTCCAGGTTCAACATTGCAAGTGACCAATCACATTATTGTGACGTTATTCTTTTGCGCACCAACCCATTCGTGCATTTATGAAATTCCAATGTTGCAAGGACAATATCAATTCTGCTTAGCGTTTATTAAAGGGTTAGGGTTAGGGTCCGTTGATCGGCGGACAAAGGCGGTTTCTCGCAGCTTAAGTACAGTTTTTTGTTTTACGCCGGTTTTTCCCGAAGTCGCAAAAGTATGACATCACAACATTCTGATTGGTCACTTGCAATGTTGATCCTGGAACAACCTTTAGTATGATGATCTGGGAACAACACCAACACGAGGATATCAGATCGTGCACCTACTTAGAAGGTCTGTACCACACAGAAAATCATATTTTGGGAAATCTGACAAGTGGATGACTTATTTACAAACACAGATTGTAAAGCTGTTATGAATGATGAAACTATCCATAGGAGCCAAAAGCTATTGTTGAGCCAGGCTGTAAATTTGGGAATTTTAACAGTGAAATCCGTTGAAGCCAGCTTTAGAAGTTTGAATCCACAAATGGATTTTCCTTACAAATGTGGCACCATTTAAGGCAGGGGTGGGAGAACTCAAGGACCCGTGTCCTGCAGGTTTTAGATGTGTCTTTGATCCAACACAGCTGATTTAAATGGCTAAATTCCTCCTCAACATGTTTTGAAGTTCTCTGAGGCCTGCTAATGAACTAATCCTTTGATTCAGGTGTGTTGACCAAGGGTGATATCTAAAACCAGGACACCAGATTTTGAGGCCTGGAGTTCCCCACCCCTGATTTAAGAGGAAATAAGCAGGCTGTCCAATGGTATAAGATTTATTGCCAAGAAGCGCTGTTACAACAAAGGACTTACTTTATGTGCCAAGCTCATTTTTTTGTGTTATACATCATGTAGCATTGTTTCTGTTTTTTTAAGGACCAACGTCTTGCTTAATCTGGCGTCGTCCAGCACTGGGCAGGTTCTACTGGTGTGTATTAAATTGGCTTTCTGAATAATAAGGAACTTTATTCAGCCAGAATGTAATTTGGCAGGATATCTGTTGTTTACTCTGAATGATAGTAAGACCCAGAACTGGGCATTGCTTTGTCTAAAAATCTAAACCACTAAACTGCGAAGTGCAGTCTCTTATTTATCCTGTCTTTTAATTACTGCTATAATTATAGATATCAATCTTTTGGTTTTCTGTTATATAATGTTCTGGCTCTTTTCTATTTACTATCTACTTCACTGGAAAGCATCAAAATTGGACTGAAACAACCAAAATAGTGACAATAACAGAAGAAGTTGGGACTTTTTATTGCCTGTGGTGTAAATAATAGGAAAATCTTTTTGTTGACTTAAAAATAGATTTGACCATTCTAGTTTATTTTCACCTTTAACTTTCTGAGACATATTTCTTTAACACAGTATTCAAATGAACAAAACAATATGTGACTGTAATTAAATATGCTGGGTCTACTTTCAAGAGGTAAATAAATCAAGACAAAAAAAGTGATAACTCTATCAACATTTCAACTTTGCCAGCGCACTGACATCAGAAACATCTCTGTACAAACTAATACAAACACTAATTTATGAAAATGTTTGAAAATTTCTCAAAATATATTTTTCATATTGCAGTCCAAAACCAAATGTGTATAATATTTATTGTGTTCATATTGTAAATACAAATTAACTATTTTTAAAGTTACACTAGTAAAATAATAATTGATTTGTTCACTTACTGAACTTACTAATAAGTATTAGAAAGGCTGCTTAGCAATCTCTCAAATCAGTTTTTGAATTGTTTTTTTTCACTTAACGTAATGTGACTTATTTTGTCCTTGTTCTGTCTCTGTATTGCTCACTGTTTGATTTATTTAATTTACTTTATTTATTGTCTGTGTACCATTTTTTACACTTCTGTTTATAATGATGAAGAAAAACTTTAGGGTGCTCATACGGTCACTGTCTTTCAACGTCTCAGTGAGTCTGCCAAAATTCCGACAGTCCCTGAAAGCAGCAAACATTAGCTAGCTAGCCAGCGGGCTAGATTAGCATAGTGCTAACAACAGAATGGGCTTGCAATTGCTTGAAAGGACCGGTGACCTCTGCTTGGCTTCCATGCTCTGAAAGCATCTTGTTTCTCTATCGCCGGTATTAAAAAAAATGGATGTCAGTGAATGTGTTTTATCGGCAGGCAGGGCCGTGCTGGACATGGTGGAGCGGGAGTGGCAGCCTCTGTCTGCGGGCGAGCTGGAGCACAGGCTGGACCAGGCGGTGGAAGAGATCCTGGAGTCACAGCTCCTGGCAAAACTGGAAAAGCAGTCCCATCGTCGTCCTCCTCCTACCAATACTATTTACGTACAGTTACTACAGAATCAGGTGGGGCCCCAAGTTTTACACACAGCAACAACATCCAGTCCGTCCGAGCAGGAGGAAGAGAAAGAGGAGGAGGCTGCAGAGTCCCAGGAGCAGGGTGATGCTGTGGATAATCCAGCGATCAAGGTAGTTTTGTGGCTTTAGTTTTCCTCTGAGAAAGCTTTTACAGTTTTCAACTACTATTAAAAACAGTGACAATTTTTTGCCCAGTTTGAATTTTCAAACTTAAATTTAACATGATATTCAAAAATCAATTAAAAAGAATTTGAACCTGAATATGAGATAAACTAAGGAATTTCTAAAGTGTACCAATCATGTATAACAATGCCTTTAATCGAATTATAAGCTCTGCATTTCATATGTTTGTCATTACTCCTTAATCTGATAACTTGTTGCTGGATTCATTTGTTTTATCTCTCCAATAAAAAGTAGAAAATGGTTCTTTTTCTTTGAGATGTGGCTGACATCCCAGTAGAAAACCAGAAACTCTGCATGAGCTGGAAGGAGAAGAAAGTGGATACATGCCTATTAAATACTGTTGTATTTTGTTTGTGTCTCTGTGTTTCACCAGTACATTTCAGACCTACTTCAAAGCTCCAAATCAAGGACACGAATGGCTGGACGGGCTCGCTTATCAATGTCCCACACTGTCCTCCTGTCTCTCACACTGCTGTCCGAGCGAGTCAGTTACCGCACTGTGTCCCGCCGCTTCCAGCTGGAGAAGGGAAACATCCACAGGATCTTCTTCTCTTTCTGCCAGCGCATAAACATGCTGGAAGAGAGGCACATCAAATGGCCAGCTGGTGTGTTAATTTGTTGGGTCGTTAATCATATGTGGGCAAATTATGATGATGATAATATTTTCTCTCTGTTCTTCAGGGAAAGAGGCTGTAGAGGCACTTTTCCCATTCTCCAATCTAATTGGAAAAAAGGAACTAGAAGGAGGAAAAGGTGTTCCTCAGGTTCTGGGAGTGTTGGGACACACCCGGATCCCTATCCGCCTGCCTATAGGGAAACATGATGTGGAGAGCACCGTACCTGAGGTGAAGAGAATGAAGATGGAGGCCCCTCCTGACTCTTGGTTAAACCTTGAGCTTGTGTGTGACATTAGAGGCCGGTTCTTGCACTGCAGAATCAGTAAAGGATCTCATGTGGACAGAGGTCGTGCTCTAAGAGACAAACTCAAACAGAACCCTGACCTAATGCCTTCCAGCTCCTGCCTTGTAGCCAGAGCTGGCTACCCACTTACTGATCAGATTTTTACCCCGTACACAGGAAGTCACGGACCAAGAGAGGCGCTCTTTAACAAGACGCTGGAGGAGCATTTTCAGATCCTGGATCAGGCCATTGCAGATCTGAGAGCCAGGTTTCGGAGGCTCACGTATCTGGATATTGGAAACTATGACCGAGCCAGAGCTGTTGTGCTGACTGCCTGTGTGTTGCATAATGTGTTTCTGGACCTAGGACAGGCGGTTCAAGGAGAGAAGGAGGAAGCCACACCCCAAGATGAAGAGGGGGAAGCGGATGACGAGGGTGTACGCAGACGTGACTCCATTACAGATTTGCTGTTTAAAAGCTTTAATCATGGAAACGCGTGAACATTTCAATTTGTTAATAAACTTCAGTTGTGCTCGTGATCCTGGCATGTTGCATTCATTAACATTTGAAGGTAGTGACTGAACCCCTAAAAACCAACAGCAAAGGTTTCCCTGAGGTCATAGAGCGAGAGCGGTGAAGGGCGGTCTGTGGGAAAATGGGCCTCCCTCGCTCTAAGACTTCAGTAAACACATTCCAGGTTAAATTGAACACAGCATTAAATTTATTATGTAAATCAACGTCAATATTAAGAGTCGAAAGAGAGGATCATCCAAGATGTGCTCATTAGGTAACAACTTGTCAAGCTCTTCACTAACCAGAAGGTGACACCAATGTTTATATTTTTTTTAATACACGCTGTAGTGTATGCATCAAAAACAGTTACCAAGGGAAACCCAAAAGCATAACCCTAACAGGGATGGAGGTAGCTGCCAACCTTAATGTGACAACAAACCAACTTTTCATTAATTTAAATGAATGACACTTTATATTACACTGAATTCATTCATCAAGAGTTTACCTTTTTTTTTATTTAATCATCTCCATAGTGTGGTGTTAATGCATTTTCCTAACACACAAAAGATCTATAGTCCAAGATTGGGAGGAAGGCGTGTCAGGAATGGCACCGCGAATCAAATAGACTTATACGGCAAGGCCGGGATGGTCCATTTGGTAAAGTAAATCCGTTGGGCATATTTCTTGGTCTTTAGACAATAATTCTGATGGCAAAAGAACCAAACGGGACAGGCGGGAAAAAAAGGAATGGCACCGCGTGTAAAAATCTGGCAAGTCAAATATGTGGATCTACTGCGGTGACCCTTTGTGAATAAAGGAGCAGCTGAAAGAAGCTTACTCTTAATCCTTGACAAAGTTAGTTATAAGTAAATTCTTCTCTGTGTTCAAATCAGGCACCTGGTAGACAGGAAGATCTAAAAAAGAGCCTAAATTTAAAGTTTAGAAACCACAATAGCATGAAATGTGTTCAAAAAATTTATTTTTTGTACCATTCTCTAAGGTAATAGACAGCCAGAGCCTGTTTCTGTGCTAATGCTCAGTGGCTAGCCCTGTCACACTACATTATTGCTACTTATACTAATAATTTGTTTTAAAACTAAATAACTATATGTGCTGGGAAGATTTGCAGGAAGCTTTCAGCATAAAAAACACAACAGAGACAGAGTTATAAACAAAGATTATCTTATTAATACTTTAACATTTATACCAGTATCTTCATTAATCCCAATACTGAAATCTGTATTGTATTTGACTGCTTTTGGCCCGGCAATGGTTACTTTATTTGCGTACAGTTTATTTTCGTACAGTTCTTTGACAGATGGGGGTGGATGCCCCATCTGTGTGTACTCTTCAACTTCATCCAAGTTTTCTATTTTGGTATAAAAATAAAAGATTCTTACATTATTTTGAGCACCAGGAGGAAAATAGAGACAGGTTTAAAGAGAACTGTAATCTGCCTGCTGTGTTAAAAGTGAGTCTGGCCTCATACTGTACACCTGCTAATCCAAGGTACTCTGTAAACTGTAAACGGTAAAAATGTGGAAAAGTCTACAAACATTAGACATTGCAAACGAGCTGTTTCCTCTCTCCTAATGTCCATCCTTTGATATCTGTGTACCGTTCTTCTGAGCCAGGCTGGAGATGGCTTGGGCCAGGTTGTTGATGGCCTCTATTTTTCGCTCCTCCAGTGCTTTCTGCTGCGCCCACATGTTCATCTTCCTCTCCTGCAGCTCCATGTACAGCTGCAGGACATCCTGCGGAGGCCTGGTGGGGCAGGGAGCAGCTGTTGCAGGAGGCGTAGGGAGGATAGGGGTAAACCTCTTGCTCGCTATAGCTTTTCCTACTTTGGTCCCGCTGAGTTTGGCCCTGCGCTGGGCTTCGATCTCCTCCCTGCTCTTACCCAGGACTTCGTGCATAGCTTTGAAGAACTCCCAGTGGACGCTGGTCACTCCCAACCTCTTGGCCCTCTCTGCATTTTTTCTGTATGTGGCCAGCATGTTTCTCCACTTGAGATCACATTCGTACGCCTTCACAGTGACATCAGTGACCTCTGACTCCCTCAATTTGGCATTGACCTTCTCTGCAACCATTTCCCAGAGTTTCTTTTTCTTGCACACTGGCTGGTCAAAGGCCTGATCCATTTCAAGCCGGGTATTGACTAGATGCCATGTAGCCTGAACTGTCCAGATAAATTCTAGGAGTGAAAAAAGGTAGATGATCAGATCAATTGCTTTTTTTGGAGTTATTAAAGACAATGCCTTGGTCTACAGTACAGTTTTTCTTAAAATGCTGAACATCATGAGTACAACTACAACTGCAATACAACTACAATTAAGTTTTTCTGCGTTATGGTATTTTTCAATACTGCACTATATTTTGGATGCATATCTTGTTCTTGATCTATATTTTAAAGCTATAGTCACATATTAAGTTTAAAAATATAAATAAAACTATTCCACTAATAATACTAATAAAAGCAACGGTATATGATTTTGTATTAAGTACTACATCAAGTACTTTTATTGTAGGTACTTTGTACGCTTAACTTTTACTTAACTGAAAGGGTGTGTAAATTCATATTTAGCTACATTGCAAAGCAGTTTTTATTGAATACAAATTCTGTGCAGTGCTACTTTTAATGCAATAAACCAGGTTGCTGTTGTTCTTGCCCCCCCTTCTCCACCCCATACAAAAAAAGAAAAAAAAAATCCTGGAAACGTTCCTGCTGAGTACTAACCTGCTTTTGTTTTATCCGTATCCACACTGGACACGACCGTTTCCTTTCCTTCCACTTCGGAGTTTTGTATCACAATTGTCTCGATTACCTCCATCTTATTAAAAGCACAACCATTACAGTTAAAGTTGTTTTTTTTAATTTACTAGCGGTGTATCTATCGCGGAATTTAACAACATCCAAGAGTCACCGATGCCCTCTCTCGCGTCGAGAAAGACGATGACTATAACAACGTCGCTTGGTAGCTTGGAAATTGTAGTTCATTTTAGTTATTACGCCTATTCTTTTTAGTATTCTGGACTAGCGGATGAACTACAATCCCTAAACTCTTTGACTATTTTAACGTAGGCTACGATTTGTCGCGGTCATGGGGGGTGTAGTTTTTCAAAAGGATGGTTCACATAAGAAGAACTGAGCGCTCTCAAATTCGAACTACACGTCCCAGAGTATTTTTAACCGACCCACCTCTTCACTCCCTGCTCCCTCCCTCGGCCGACCCTGTTTTGTTGTTTGGCTAAAGATGGCGTTAGCGGCTAACCCACTCGATTGCAGTTTGTTTCACAAAAATTATTCGGCCAGTGGTAACAAAACATTGATAAAATAGAGATTTAATTCGTCATTTTGTGTGTAAAAAATATATTACACCGAGAAAATACACGTCCACTTGGTCGATTAACGTTTGCTTGGCCTTCTTACGATGTAGGCCAGTTTTAAAGGGAGCGGACCGAAGCCGTCGGAACTCCATATCCCGTCGGGGAGTGCGGCGTCAGGCGGTAACACTTTCCTTTTTCATGCTGGTATCTGTAGTTCTTACCACACAAGTCGCTTTTTTTCCGGAAACTTTAAAGACAATGAACTAAACCAAGAGTTGAGTATATCTAAGTGGAAAGGACATGGTATATAATTTCTCTGTGTTTTACTGGAAACGTCCAGTGATGCCTCGCGGCGCCTATGATATTTGTTTTAATTGAGGAGGACAAATTAAAAATAAGTACACCTGTTACCTGGAAATCCGGGGGGCCATGGCTGCATCACCTGCAGAATGTGACAGAAAAAACCCGAGAACACCCTCCAGGGAAGGACAACCATCACCAGAGTCTTCTTTGACCTGGTGCTTGACTCACATCTCCAAATCTGGATCGGGGTCTGAGCGTCAGGGACAGTCAGGCTCAGGCGGTGCCAGAGAAACGGACAAGAAGTCCAAAGTCTCCCAGTGGCGAGCGCTTGTTGCTATTAGGACGCAGCACATCAAGGGCGGCAAGGCTGGCATTGCCAGATTCAGAGGTCAGGGTGGTCTCCGGCACCTGTTGGATCTGATTAAACACCCAGAGTGCTCGAGGAAAACTCTGGATCTGGCTCTTAGCATCCTCGGCAACTGCTGCACTGAGCTGGAGACACGAATAGAGGTGAGACAAGAAATAATAGATGAGTTTGTTTATTAAAGTCACTAACTTTTAAAATGTTTTCCTACTTTCCTACAATATCAGGTGCGTAAACTTGATGGGATAAATATTGTAGGTAAGTGGTGATTTATTGTTATACTATATATTATACTTTTTAAATTTAAGCAATCTTTATCATAACTTATATCTGAAAAATGCCTATTGTAGTGGACATCCTTAAGAAAAATGTGGCACTGGAGACAGTCCTGAACCGAGCAGCCCGCGCTTTAGGGAACTTGGCCATGGATCCAGAAAGCTCTGCACTCATCCACTCTGCCGGTATGTCTGACCTGCTTCTGTGTGTCACATCCACTTTTGTAGCTGACAGCATTTAAAATGAGCTTGGAAGCTTCCAAATGGGCTTTTTTAGTTGTAGATGTATTAATATAATAATAATAATAATAACAATAACAATAATAATAAGTGCTTTAACAGACAGCCAAAGGCAGAGTGCTCAAAGGGCAGATTTAAAGTCGATCATTAAGGTCAAACAGGGGAAAGAAGACAATAAACAAAAAAACTGAAAGCTGATAACCAGACAGTACAAAGATATCGCATGTAATGCCATCACATAAAAGCATCAAAGTCTATCAAAATGTGTTTTCTTTGACCTGTGAATCTATATAATTTCTCCTCTGATTATTAATCGTTCTTATTATCACACAGGTGGTGTTCCTCTTCTCCTTCTCTGCGTGTCTCTTTCATCTGCACCGTCCTCCCCCACAGCTGCTCCACCCAAAGATGCCTGTCCCAAACTTGAGTGTGCTCAGTCTGCTACTCGAGCCCTTCTCTACCTCTGTGATACGCCCTCTAATCGCCTTTCATTGCTCACCCAAGGGACCCTATCTGCGCTCACCCCTCTTATTGCACCAGAGTATCCCCAGGGGTTGAGGCGAGCAGCTCTCAGGACTCTCCATGAGCTCACCCGGGGCTGTGGTGTTGAATGTGCCAGGGAGGTGTCTCGTTCCGGGGTCCTCGCTCAGCTGGGTGTCATGGCGACAGGAGAGTCTGGTAAACCCTTTGAAGAGTTGGCACTGAAAACATTAGCCAATATGTGCTCTCAGGGTTGCCTACGGCCTCTCGTGGGGTCACTGGGAGTCATCCAGAAGTTCACAGAGGAGGTTAAAAGGGACCCACTGAAGTCAGGAGTCTTCCTCAAGGCTCTGTGCTTGTGCTGCAAAGAGGCCGTGAACCGGGCCAAGGTGAAAGAGAGCGGCGGACTGGAGGTACTGATTGGCTTTTTGTCAGCTCATCAAAGTCATCCTCTTTCCCGGCTCGCTCTTATGGCCTGTGTAGACTTTGTTTTTGATGAATCTGCCATGGAGCAGCTGCAGGAGTTGGGGCTGGTTCCTCTTCTTGTTGCACGGCTAGTTGAGCTCACCAGAGGAGAGGAGCCATTGACTGAGAAGATGGACGTGAGCCTCTCCTCAAGTACGTCTCCCACCGAGCTCCTGTCTTCATCATGTTTTGATTCCTTTGATTTTCCTCCTCCCGAGGGACACAAAAAGGAAGAATCTGGTAGGGAGCAGGGCTCATCCAGCTTTTTAAGTCTCAGGTATGGAAAAAGGAAATTTCTTTTTTTAAAATTTAGTTTTCCCAATTGTTGCATTGTTTTTTTTTCTGTTTTATATTGTTTACAATTTCATTCCTTTCTCCAGGTCCTGGTTGGTGTCTGAGGGTTTGATAGCTTCTGAAGGGGACCTTCTAGATTCTTCTAATGTTGATGGAGAATGGGGGAGTCTTCAGATCCCGCCATCTTCATCACCTCAAACCCCTTCCTCAAACCCGTATTCTAGTTCCTCTCTTAAAAACTCTTCTTCACCCAACCCAGCTATTTCTTCTGCTTCTAAAAAAGCACCTCACTCTTCGCCTTTGTCTTCATCATCATCAAAAGTCACCGATCTGCCTCCCTCCAATGCGCTCTCACCACAAACCCAGCCTAGTTCCTCCACCATCTCCTCTCCCACTAAAACAAGCCAAACCCCCGTTTCTCCATCCAAGTTTTCATCCCCACTCAGACGCAGGCCGCGGGCTCAATCAACAACGTCTTTGACTAAAGTCACACTTGAGACTCCTCCATCTGTGCCTCGCGCATCAGCTTTCCATCACCCTTACCACCCCGAACCCTGGACGCCAGAGTCACCCATCCTGCTGCTGCTGTCGCGCTTCTCCCACGCCACCGATCCAAGTGCTGCTCTGGTCAGCTCAGGCGTCATGTCCGGCTTGCTCTTTTACCTTACCCAGCGTGAGGATCCCAGCAGCAGGTGCTTCCGCATGCTTTGCCGGCTGAGCTGCAACCCGAACTGTTTGCAGTCGCTTGTCCGAACGGGTTCTGTAGCGCTCATTCGCCACCATCTCTGCCAGAGAGAAGAAGGATTTGAAGGAGGAGACAGGCAGACGGACAGAGTGAAAGCCAAAGTTAAACAGCTTGGTGAGATGATCATGTTAAAATAAGTGAAACCTTATACAAGATTTAAATAATGCACACATAAGTAATTAAATATGCGCACAGAGTAGAGGTGCAGTGTTAGTCTTTTACATTTAAAATCGGCTTATTTTGCTTTATTGGAATCATTTTTATTTGAACTGAGAAAGCCAGGCTACAAGTGAAATGACTCCTAACAAGTAACCCTGAACTTTACACCGATACACTGAAAATTCAACTAATTCAATTGGTCACATTTGGTTAACTACAAGGACGATATTGATTCGCTGTTGATCAGAATTTATTTCAGGAACCGTCTTTTGTTCGATCAAATATAATATCTGGTCTTTTTGTTTTTTTTATGTAAGACTAAAGAGTTTATAATTGTGTGTTGACTTTGCAGGTGTGGCCCTTCTGAATAACCTGCGTGTCCAGTGTGAGTCTGGATTTGGCTCTGGGGTTCTTGCACATGTGATGCTGTCTGGCTCTGACTCAGATAAGCTGAACTGTGCACTGTCTCTGCCATTAATCAGCAGGTAAGTATTGGATGTGTACTGATAATGTATTCGTAAAAAAATACTAAATGTATAACAGTAGGGCTGCAACAATTTATTGAGTATTTTGAAAAATTCAGTTATAAAAAATTCTCGGCACACATTCTTTGCTTCGACACTTCGTTTAAGGCACGGCTCTGTAGCGGAACATTATCACCATGGAAACGCGAGCGCTTCTCCCAGATTTGCGACTTAAAAAACAGACCTGCAATACAAACTTATTTAGGAGCAGCATGTAAAAAATCATCCCGCGAAGAGCAAAGAGGTGGAGTCATTACGAGACGGTGAGCTCAGGTTGATTGAAAGAAAACGTGTTTCTCGTGTCCATAACAGCAGGCTGTGCTTGTAATCACCATTAACACCTTTACTGGGAAAAAGCTAGCACGAGTTCTTCATCAAACCAACTCATCAACGAACTGTGATATGAAGAAAAACAATCTTTGTAGCTGC